ACATTCAATTCCTTTTTTTAAACTATAGCCACAAGACAATATGCATGTTAAAACGTATCTAGTTTTACATCTTCATCGCCATGAAAATGCAATGCCATTAACCACAAAATGACTGTAAATTACATGATTTTTTTTAAACAGCTACATCTTAAATAATTTTAACAAACATTTTAACAGAAGAATTATGAAGTGCTTTAATAAAATGCTAAGCTGCATTATTCTGCTTTTACATCCTCCAGAAATTGGCCTCAATTAATTGTAAGTGCCTCCTCTCTCTTTTTTTTTTTTTTTTAAATAAGGGACCCAAATTGATTTTTGTCAGAATTAACATTATACTAAAATACTGCATATAGAGCTTAACTTCTACTGAACTATACTGAAAATATTTATTTTGAATGACTACAACCATGTAATAACCAAGCAAAAACCTCATTTGTTTACCATGACAATTCATATAAAGAACTGAGCACTGCTTTTACCTGTGACATGATTCAAAAGGAAGCTTTTGTTGTGGCTAACTTGGTGAAATACAGTAATTTTGTGATCATTCTGATGTTGCAATTAATGTAATATAATAATGAATTTCAAAAGCTTTGGTGTTTGAATGTGAATGAATCATTCTCACTGATGGCCATGCATTGACTCATATTTTTCGTTCTTGAGGTCTCTCTCCTATGACGCATGTGACTGCTTTAATGGCTTCTTCCTCAACTTTCCCTCCATTTCTTTCACTCTTTGCTGCTTTTTTTCCTGTGTGGTTGAGGAACTCTAGTGCTGATGCAGCAGTGAGGCAGGACATGCAGAGGGTAAATAACACAACCACTAATGCGCTTCAGTAGTGAAGCAGATCTTATGACACAGCCGTCTGAATGTGGTCACGCTGTTTCATAGTTCTGGGGGGTTCAGAGATTGGAGAATCTCTTCGCAGATGGTGGAAGACACCCTTTCATTCATACCACAAGTTTTGGGATTGCGAGTTTTAACTAGTATTTAATTACAGTGAAGCATTACTTCTACTTTAATTACTCTTTCATAACATAACAACGTTTTAAATCTGAAAGTGCACCATGTATAAAGTTATTGTCTCTTAAAAGAAAGAGTCGACTGAATCATTGAAACTAGTCGTTTTTAAAACTAATCCTAAGCCG